TTAGGGGAATCCTGGCGGCCTCGTAGAGAGCAGGGGCGGGGAGCGGGGGAGCCGGTGGGACTCTTCATCGCGTCCCAGGAGCGAGCGCGGCGGCGGGAGGGGTGCGTGTGCTGAGGCGGAGCCCGCGGGACTCGCCCCTGTGATGCGGGGCAAGGAGGGGTTGAGAGGGCCGCCTCCAGGACCCTGGCCCGAGCTCCCGGGAGAGTGGGGTGCAGACGGGCAGACGCTCCCAGTCCACACCGCTGCTTCGTCCCGCCGGAACCGCTCCCCCGTGGGGGTAAGGCATTTTCCTCTCCGTCTAATTCAGGAATGCGTTCAATAACTCCTTTCGTGAGGTGGTGGGAACCCTGTCCACATGAACTCGAGGCATGTGTGTGCCTTTAAAGTTTGGGTCTAGGTCTAAATCGGACCATCTCCTTCATTCTACTCTGCTTGGGGCGGAGTGAAAGGGGGCGGGGAAAGTGTCCCCTAGAGAGACGGAGCGGCGTCGAGTTCCGATGCCGCTTTACCCTTTGGTTATGAACCTAGTGGCGGTTGGCTTTTCCATCCAGTGTTGTTAGCGCGTTAAGGAAGTAACGGATAACGGAGCAGTCATCTGCAAAGTGTCCATCTGAAATCCAAGCAGCAGGCTGAAAAGCTGCAGGCACCCACTCTGCCTACGCTAATGCCTTGAGGAACTGGGGACACTTACAGGAAGTGAGAGCCAAGTTGGGATGCCCGCTGATTTAAGTCACACCAGGACCTGGTGATTCCTAATGCTGTAGTGGCCAAGAACTGCTGATCAAACTTCCCAAAGCCCTGTGCCTATCAGGTGCCTTCAAACGGCTTATAGACAAGATGCTGCATTAATACACTACGTCGTTAAAAAATACGTGTATGTTAACAGCTGTGGCTGGTAATTGTGTTTGAATTTTCACATGGATCAGTTTAAACACTAGTTGATTTTAAAATCAGGTAGAAGAAAATTCATAGTAAAAGGCAAGATTACCTACTGTATATAGTTATGAAAGTTTCTGAAGGTTTTCGATATTGATAAAAAGATAGATAGATTTTACTTATGAGAGGTCTTCCAGGGAATGCGCATTTGCCGTGGCATTCACTCTGTCACCTTACAGTTCAAGCCCTTGCTGTGTGCCAGCAGTTAGTGCTGGTGGCAGAGCAGTGGGGGACTGGCAGAGCCGGCGAGTCCCAGGAGCTGACCTCCTGTGACTTCCTGTTGAGGCAGACGGTAAACAAGGGTGTCAGGTGATGCGGAGCCTGGGAGGGACAGGAGGGGAGGGGTCAAAGCGAGCTGGGAAGGAGGGCGTGGCTGGCTGCAGCGCTAAACGGCTGAAGGGAGCCTCCTGGAAGGTCTAGTTGGAGCTAAGACAAAAGTCAGGTGGGGTGGGAGGCTAGGTCATTGTAGGCGAAGGGAACAAAATAAGAGGGGAGGGGCAGCATGCCTGCCTCCGGTGGGCGGAAGGGAGGCAGAGAGTAGGGGGGTAGGTGCCCAAACACCCCCAACCTCAAAGCCCCTGTTCACAGGAGCCCCAGGGGAAGAACAGAAAACTGGTGATGTGTAAAAAGCAAGGGGGTAAAGAGCCCTCGGGAGGGGCGACTCCCTGGGCGGCAGGGGTCTGACCGTACAGCAGCCCCGCGGGCAGTCCAGGCCCAGCGGACCGCCAGCGCTGCCACGGCCAGAGAGAAGCTTCTGCAGAGGTGTGCCTGCCCTTGACGTTAGGCGCTGTGCAGCCGTTTCCAAGTTCCACCTCCTTTTCCTGTTAGGCACGTCTGTGTGTTCTCTCCTTCAGGAAAGTCTACATGGACTATAATGCAACCACCCCCCTGGAGCCAGAGGTTATCCAGGCCATGACCGAGGCCATGTGGGAAGCCTGGGGAAATCCCAGCAGTCCGTACCCGGCAGGTAATTCTAGAAGATGCGCACAGACGGGAGATTCGGGGGGCAGAGGCACCCTTAGAGGAATTGCACACCACGTGGGATTGCTTGGTTTGGAAAAGATTTTCTGTTAGCCGCACGTTTTTAGCTGTGATTCTTGGTAGTTTTTTCCTGAGAAATCCAAATTTGTATGTTGACCCTGTTGCTACCATAATCTTCCATCTGTAACATACGTGTCTGTCGTCTTCCCAGGTGGACAAGGTGTCTCATTAAGAGTCATTTGTAAAAAAGAAAAAAGTTATTTGTAGTAACAGCACCTATAAAAGCCCCATCCCATGTCTCTCTCAGTCTGTCTTACAAAATTCACAAAATAGACCCTTTAAATCATCACGATCGAATGTAATCCTGGCCTTTTTCAGAAGTGAGAATACTTTTAAATTCTTTGTTTTAGTTATAAATATTCTTATTTCTCACTTACGCTGGTTTTTAATGTAAAGCATTAAATTGGGGGTTTTGGAAAATTGCTTCAAATCAGTAGTTGTACGGCAGTTACATTGTGTTTTTCAGACGGTGGGCTGGAGTTGTACCCTTCTCATTTAGCGTGTGTCAGGGATAATGAAGGTAAACTGTCTCAACTGTGGATTACGACGAACCAAAGTCGCTCTCAGACCACCACCCCGGGGTTTGCGAGTGCCCCTGTGCAGCCTCACAGGCTCTCGTGGGCTTTCCCGTCCATTTGCTTATTTAAAATTTCACAGCAGCTTGATCGCTAAAAGCATTTACTTTTTAAAAAATTTTTATTTTTTAAAATAAAGTTTTTTTCCATTACAGTTGACATACAATATTACATTAGTTCCAGGTGTACCGCAGCGATGAGTCGCGTACGTAACGTACAAAGCGGGCCGTCGATGAGTTGTGTGCCCCGACGCCAGGCACGGTTGTTGTACTGCCTGTCTTCACTGTACTGAACATCGCCCCCCCTGGACTGTTTGTAACTGCCAATTCGTACTTCTTAATCCTGTGCCCTTTTCCACCTAAAAGCATTTTCAAAATCAGGCACTCGTCTCAGTAACGTATTTACTGGTTTATTTGGTACACGTGTTCTGGCTCATGTTCTGGGCATTTCCATGTGTCTCATCTTTCCTGCAATGAAATGGAACTTCTTGATGGATTAAACTTGAGAATATGGAGACTAATCAAGTGACAGTAAGAAGCCTGTATCCTGAAGAAGGTTAGGGATGACCCTTAGGGACAAGAAGTGTTCTTGACCCAGTGAAGCCTGTCTGTGGCTTCTCCGCTACCTTGACAGCTTTTGTTTACACAGATGAGGAACTGTAACTAAAACATGCATCGCAGTTCACTCTCTATTGCTACTCGGGTAGAAATTAAAAAAAGAAAAAAAATTGCCTTTATGATAGAATGATTTAATTACTTTCACATTTTTGTGACTTAGTAGTACTAGCAGAAATTCCTTTGGCGGGAATTTATTTTAAGGGCGATGGGAAGGTTGCATGGGAAGAGTTTAGAGACCCAGGCCGTTTACCACAGCCGTGCTCATAGCTGTGAAGAGCCGGCAAGGCCCTCAGTGTCCTTCAGTGGAGGACTGATCGCAGAAAGCATGCCGGGGCCCCGCCGTGGGGTCTGGACCCTGTTACAGTGGCTGGGGCAGTGTCCTGGTCGAGGACAGCAGCCTCGCACAGGCGGGAAGAACACGTCATACAACAGGCCGTAGAGTTTGGCTTTGACGTTTTCCCCACCCGCCTCACAGAGAAAAAGTCGTGTGTGCGAGTCTGGAAAATGTATAGACAGAAAACTCCAAATAACAGCAGCTTGAACAGCTCACGGTTCGTGTCTCCCATAGCCCAGGGCCCCTGCGGTCCTCAGCCGTGACCAGGAGCCCCGGCTCCTCCCGTCCATCTGACTCTTCTTACCCCGTGTGGTCCAGATGGCTGCTTCAGTTCGAGCCATCAGGTCAGCGGTCCCGCCGCGGGCAGGACCAGTGGAGGAGAAGGGAATGCCTGCATCCTTCAGACACTTCTGGAAGTTCGTGGGCCACTGGCTTATAACCGTGGCTGGAGGGCTGTCCCGTGGCCATGCGTTGACAGCCCAATTGCAATGGAATTGGGAGATTTGGTCTTAATTGTTAATGAATCTAAGAATTTCTTTATCTAAATGTGGCCTTCACTCCACCACGTGCCAGCGAAAACGTCACTGAGACTGGCCGTCGGCCCAGCACAGGTGGGATGCGCGTCAGATTCTCTTCCCTGGGACTGTGGCAGGTTTGGGAGGTTTTCTTTCTGTTTCCGGCTTTTGGATTTTTCTGCCATCGGCAGCACAGGTTTCCTGAGACGCGGGTTCAGGGAGACTTCCCTTCAGAGCTGTCCTTACGCTGAAATGACAGGAAGCACGTGCTGCGTTTCGATGTGCCCCCGTCCTGGTCCTGGCCAGAGTCCTTGGTTGTCGAAGGCGAAGGCAGGGCGTCAGGCATTCGGGGAGTTAGGTCCCCCCGCTTTCGCACACCCCTGTCTTCATTATTAGTTGACAGCCTGTGACAGGGCAGAGTTAGGGTTTCGGGTTCACGGTTGAGGACGCCCACTCTCCGAGTGGCCACGTGACCTCCATTGTCATGTGGCTGGTCCCGGATGGAACCGGCTCTTTCGGCTCTGGGTTCTGGGCCTTTCCCACCAGAACCCTCTTACTGGCGTCAGCAGCTCCCTGGGGCCTGTGTGTCTCCTGATGCCCTCCAGGCCCGCCCTGCCTCAGGTGGAGGGCCTGCGACTTCGTGAGACCCAGAGTCGCCTCCAAGGACTCACGTCTTGCTGAATGATACGCGAAACCAGATTTCCGTGTGTTTCAACATACTCACTGGCGTGCGCGTGTTTAAAGTGCGCTTAATCCGTGTGTGCTGGCCGGAGTAGTGAACAAAACTAAGGTCCTGGTCTGATGTTCAGGCCATATTTCAACGTCCTCAACTTAGGAAACTTTTTTAAAAAGTAAGACTGAGTTATTATCACGTGTTGGGGACAGGAGAGGGAGAGAGAGGTGGAACCGTTGCTGTCAAATATATACCATGGGCTTCGGGGTTTTTTTTAAACTGCCAAAGTTTTATTTTGGAAAGTGTAATATTTCTATTTTTGTGTATGTTTTATAATATACACATATATTTTTAGTGGTGCCTGCTCAGGTTTTTGTTTACAAATAGGACTGAGTAGTCAAATAGGACTGAGTAGTCAGTTTAGAGGCTACGGGTCGATAGACATTTCAGAGTTCCCGCCCAGAGCCATTGTTTGCCTCGGGAAGTGTGGCTCCTGTTCTGCGAGCCAGCGGAACGGGGCGATGGCTGGGCCGCGAGGCCCTCCTTGAAGGCGACGAGTCCCTGAGGCGGGGACCTGTGCCGTGAGGTGTGGCACGGGACTTTGTGTCGAGGAGTCACGAGTTCTACTTTGCTTATTTTTGTTGTTTTGCAGTGAGATCTTAAGCAAATCGCTCCATCCGTTCGTTCTCCCGTCTTGATGAATGGGAAGCGAGGCAGGTGGCCAGTTTCCCCTCCTGTAGCATCCGGTAAGAGGAAAAGCACGTCTTAGGGCATTTAGGCTCCACGGCGTCCTCCCGCATCCGTCTCTGGCTCTCCCGAAGTTGCTGGAACCGCGGGCGTTCCCGCCGACCTGCTAGTGTCCCCTGCCACCCCTTCTCCGGGCGGTTCCGAGGCGGTCGCGTGTTTGCGCGTTTACCCGACAGGACGCGTTTCGTTTTGGAACCGCCCGCTCAGATCCTCGTTCCTTGGCGTCTGGTCATTTCTTAAACGTGTTGGCTGGACCTGGCGGAGCCACGTTAACGCATTTCCATTTTGGTCTCTCAAGGTAGGAAGGCCAAGGACATCATCAGCGCCGCCCGGGCGAACCTGGCGAAGATGATAGGCGGGGAGCCTCAGGACATCGTCTTCACCTCCGGGGGCACAGAGGTAAACGGGCGCGCTCCTCCGGCTGGGAGGTGGAACGAGCAACAGAAGGTGGCTCCTTCGTGGCGCCTTCTTTTTTTTTAGGAGAGAGTAACAGTTGGTCTTGCTATTTTGCGAGTTAGCGTGACGTAGCTAGCTAATATTTAGCCCATAGTTCCAGGCGCCTGAGGTCGCGAAGTGTCACGTGTGGATCAGCTTGCCTCGCACTGCCGTTTCAACAACGAGGTCTCCCTTCACTTCGCCCTGGACTCATTTTTCAAAGCCCCGCTAAGACGTTCACCTTCTCAAGGGCGTGCGCTTTGACCCATTCCAAAGGTTCTCTTTGTGAAGTGATGGAAGATACTCCAGGACAGGGTGATGGCGCCGAGGCCGCAGCTCAGCCCACGACACTCGGCGTGTCGCGGCGGTGCCAGAGAGGAAGGCGGCGGGGCGCACGGGGCCGTGACCGTCGGTGCGGGAAGCCTGGGGGACGCGCGGCTGGGTTATCCGTGATCCTAAGGAAATTCCGCGCGATTCTCACACAGAAGAGTCGATTGCGTTTTCACGTACTAGCAACAAACCAGGTGTTTACCAGGGCACAAAAAATGTCGAGTCCTTAGGAGCTACATCTGGCGAAAAGGAACTTGCGTGCCCCCCGCTGGGAAAGCTGCGGGAACGTCGCTGAGTGCCAGTGCCAGTGCCAGCGGGGCCCGGCGGGAGGCTCCGGGCGAGCAGCGGCCCGGCCCACCGATGGGAAGACTCGGCATCGCGAGCACCTCAGCTCCCTGCACAGCGCGGCCGCCGTCGGAGTTCTGACACATTCTGGGGGAGTCACCGCACTAATTCATAGAGGAATAAAAAGGCCAAGAGTAGTCGAGGCTTCGTGAAGCTTGAGAGCGCAGGGAGGGGACTCGCTCTGCCAGCGATCGGGCAGATGGCCGTAGGGCGGGGCGGGATGGACCAGCAGCGGCGGGCGTGTGCTTGTGTGGGCAGCACTGTCCCAGGAAGCGCCTGTCGTCCTGACCTAATTTTAGCAGTACGCTCTTATGTAAAACTTTTTCTGGCTCAAATAGTCATATGATCGTCGTAAGAGGCTGAGTTAGCATAACAGGAGGGTGGTCTCTTGAGTAAATGGCGCTGGAGAGACCGTGGTCAAGGGAGCTGATGGGTTCCTGCATCACGACGGGAGAAAAGCTCCAGGCACAGCCAAGGCCTGATTATGAAGAGTAAAATTTATAAAGCTTTTAGGTGATAAGTTAATTTTTTTGTGATGTTTAAGAGCGTTGGCTTTCTTAAATAGAATAGAGAAAACATTGACCATAAAGGAAAAGATCGATAAAGTCTGCCACCACCGTCACAACAAAAGAAACTCATTGAGGAACACGGAAGAAAACACAAGGCCCGTCAGACGGCGGGAGAAGGCGCTCGCAGCACGTAACTGACCAGGCCGCATGCGCAGTCTGCAGGCCGCTGACGCAGCAGAAGGATGGACAGTGAACTTGCATGTGCACGTCACAGAAGAGAAGCGTGGATGGCACAAGCTACTCGCAACAGGCGCTCAGTCTCACCAGTAACCAGAGTGTGCAAGTAACAGGGCGGAAGCCCCTCGGCACACCTGCCAGGTGGCGAGAGGGAAGAACCCGGTGACGGCTGACGAGGGCCGGGGGGCAGTGGGCATGCCCAGGCAGGGTGCCACGTGCCCCGTCAGGCAGCAGTCCCACTCACAGGTACATGTCACACCGACAAGGCGTGTGGGCACCAAGAGACAGGGAGGGACTGGTCACAGCAGCGCTCATGACAGCCAGAAACTGGGACCGCCCTGATGTCCCTCCAGGTTAGGATGCTCGCGTGATGCAGCCGCGCAGTACTGCCGCACGGCTGCCTGCAGCAGCACGGTGCAGCTCGCGACACGGGGTGAAGACGGTGGAAAGGAAGCCGACGCTGGCAGAGCAGAGCCCGGCGGCCTGGCTGAGTAAGGGGAGGGGGCGCTGCTGCCAGGCCCCTGGGCTCTGTGACCCCCACCCCAGGACCAGACTCCTAGTGGTTCACGAGGAGCCCCCCTCGGCCCCAGCTGCCGGTGGGGCCAGCTGGCCTCATCTGGAACCCGATGCCTAGCAGCGCTGTGGCCTGGGGACGCAGGGCGCATCCATAGGTGTGACCTGCTGGTTCCAACAGGCTCCTGTGCTCCCGATGCACCAGGGGTCCTGTGTCCCAGTCAGCAGCCACCTTGGGGTGGAGGCGGCAGGTGGGCGGGGCCTGGGCATGTCGTTCACAGACAGCAGTCTTTCCTGCTGCCCTCCATGGTGACCTATGGATGGCACACAGACCCCAGGACCCCCTTAAATGGGATTACAGGGCCACTTCAGCCACACACAGCCTGGAAGGCCCTGCTTTTCTGGACGGAATCGCTCACTGTGTGGGCAGCTGCGTTTTCTGCGAGAGTGTGACCTGGGACTTCTAAAGAAGCATCCAGCTTTTGGAAAAGCACATCCGAGCCATCATCCCCGACCACCTCCTCACCGTTAATTCCGCGCGTCTCTGATGGAGCAAACTACTGTGTGGCTGCGGCAGACCCCAGCAGGCCTCTGCTGTGACACTCAGCGTGTTTCCAGTCCCCCCCCGTCAGGCACCATGTGACTGCTGCCCTCAGCACAGGGCCAGCAGCACCTGTCGCCTCCCCGCTATGCAGACACTGGAATAGACTGCGTCCTAAATCACAAAAAATCAGTTCGATTTGACTTTCATGTGAAAGTCAAAAGAGGGAAAATCTTGTTTAGAGAGGCTCACGTACGAAGTAAAAAGATAAAGAAAAGCAAGAAAATTATTTCCTTGAAAACCAGGGTGCGGTCAGCCGTAGGGGCGGGGGCCCCTGCGGTGCGGGCAGTGTTTTTGTCTGGACCCAGGTGAGTTACTCTGGTAGTCACTGTCACGTTTTTTCATTAAACTTATATTTTACAGTTTTCTATATATATGTGTTATACTTAAAAATAAGAGAAAATATTTTTTTTTTTTTTTTTTAAAGAAAGGTTTCTCCCACCCCCCACGCCCTCAGCTAGCTACTTTTTCCACAGGAGACCTGTATTATTTGTTTTGTGTCCTCCGGATATAATCTGTGCATTAAAAGCACAGAAGTCTGTAGATTTATATATTCTCCTTCCCTTTATACTTTTTCAGGATTTTTTGCATGTGTAAGCAAATGTGTACGTATCTCACCCTTTTTATACAAATTATAGGTTACTGTATATAACGTTTGCTACCTTTTCTCCCCGTGATTTTTTTATATCTGGCGCTCCACTGAGGATGCCGAATAATAAGTTCCCTTATTGCTAGACACCGAAGGGCTTTACAAAGTTTCGCCGTTACAAACAGCGCTACACTTTCCATCCATCATTCTGCTTTGCAACTGTAGCTGTAGGATCAAGTCCAAGCACAAGCTTGCTGGGTCAAAGCTTTGGTCTGCGAGATGCATGGGTGGCCCCGAGCAGCGCATGTGCTGGCTTGCGTCCCCTCTAGCGCCGGGGCCTGGGCAAAATACTCTTTCCTGACAAGTTGATAAAGTTTTAAAATATATAATGTTGGTTCTTATAACAAAGCAGGCATAATTGACCAGAAATGAGTTCCGAAGTTTTTGAAAGTTTGCAACCCCCAAATCTTTATAGTGAGGCCTTTCAAAGGGTACAGCTGGGAAGCTGAGCATTTTTCCTTTTTGAATGTTAGCCACCAGGAACATCCAAGTGAGAGAGCTTGCTACTCTCTCTCCTCAGGACAAGTTTTGTAAATGTTGTTTTCGCTGTATCTCTGCAGTCAAATAATTTGGTAATCCATTCTGTGCTGAGGCATTTCTACAAAACCCACACCTCAAGTGGGGACGCGGCTGAGCATCACAGCCCCGGGGAGAGGGCCGTGCCCCACGTCGTCACCTGCAGCGTGGAACACGACTCCATCCGACTTCCCCTGGAGCATCTGGAGGAAGAACAAATGGCTGGTGAGTGACCAGCCGGGCAGGGACAGCTCCACTGACCTCGGCTGGCCGATGCAGTGGAGGGGCGCGGTGAACCATTTACCCTCCATATGCGGCCTTCCGGGCTGTTCTCGGGTGCAGGGGACACAGGTCCAGGGGACACGTGTTCTTCCAGGCTGCGTTGGGGGGGTGCCGTGAGGCTTTCCCTTAGGGCAAAAGTGATAATCAGGTGCAGAGCTGGTCGCGGGTATTCCTGAGAGACATTTCAGACTTTTGTATATAATAAATACATATCTGAATAGCTTGTCTATAAAACGCTAAATGGTGTTTGGTTTTAATAACTAGATCTTGGCTTTCACTTTCTCTGATCGGAAGGGAAAGGATCAAATAGATGCCGACTTCAGGTGGAGAAAACCAGAGTAATGCTCCTGCTGCTCGACTGTCTCGGCAGGAGGCGAGGGACAGAGGGCAGGGTGGCGTCGGGCTTGGCCCGCAGTGAGAGCTGTCGCACGGCACAGGGCGTAGACCACTAACTCGAAAACATCAGAGCCTTTTCTTTCCTGACAGCCGAGGTTAATGCTTTCCTTTAAATGAGAAAGCGTTTCTTCGCAGCCTTAGCTTTCTTATTTAAGCAGCCTGCAAACCTGAAGGTGACTTGGGGGAGTTATTTTTATCTTAAAGGACTGTGCAGAACTGCTCCATCTGACGGCGAAGCCTTCTGTGGATCTTGCTGTTTGGAAAGGTTCTCCTCCTGATTTTACCTGAATGCACACTTTAAAAACAAGTCAGGTCTCACTTTGTTATTTAAGTCGCAATTTTTCTTAATCCCTGGGGCCTTTTTCTGTGTCTTGTACAAGGAAGGGCAACTTAGTACATGTCGTGATTAGTTACTGTTGCATTTAACCTCTTGTTTCAAATTACACAACTTTTTACAAAGTGTAACCATCCACGGGGTGGAAACAGTTTAAACATCATAGAAAGGTATAAAGTACAAAGTAAAGTTTCATCCCCTGCCTCCCCCTTCCTGTCCTGCTTCTCAGAGGCAACTGACTCCGTTTCCCTCACCCCAGGCAGCCGCGAATCCCCGTTCTGTTCCTAGAGCCCCCACTTCTGGTCTTTCATACAAAAGAGATCACGTGATACGCGTCTTTGTGACTGACTTCTCTCAGCCTACCGTCTTCAAGGTCCATCCACGTGTATCACTACTAAATTCCTTTATATGGATGAATAATCTATTTTATGTGATAATGTTCACAATTTGTTCACCCACTCATCAGCTGATGACCATTTGATGACTGCTTGGCATCGCGCTAATACCATGATGAGCATTTGTCTGTGTTTGTGTGACACGTGTTCATTTTTCTGGGGTAGCGGGTGCGTGAGCTCGGCCCTTCATCCATATGCGGTGGCACCCACCCGCTGGGCGCAAGCGAGGTGCTCGGGTGTCGGAGGCCGGCCCTCTGCCTGCCTCAGCAGTGGGCCTCCACCCTGCTCGGTGCTGTGCGCCTTGAACTTGGTGGTCAGTGGATCCGGTCACACCCTTAGAGTTCAGAGTGGAGACCCCCAGCTTCCTATTAATTGGATGCCATTCCTTTCATCTTTCTGGGGGTTCCTCAAAAGTGCCTGCCCACAGGTAACCCTTGTTTAGAAGTACACCTCTTCTCTCATTTCAGGGGGACCTTGAGGGGAAAGTAGCTGTTTGTCATCCACCATTTTGAGCCAAAAACCTCTTTTAGTCACCCCCACTTATCTTCCTCTTGCAGCAATAAGATTATCAGTGCCTGGAGTAAGTGTGGGTAGGAGCGCTGAGAGAGCAGAGGTTAGGACGGGGTGCGCCAAGATGCTCTCGTGAGCGGACAGTGTCCCCTCGCGGGTCCCCGACAAGCAGAAAGGAGAGCGTGTCCCACGAAATGAACCCCCCGATTGAAGCTTCACTTAGAAGAGTTCGAGTCACTTCTGGGCGGGTCTCAATGGGGCTCGTTGTCCTCTGTGGTGTTCTGAGCCCTTACGAGAAATTCCGTTTTCATTGTGGGACGTGCTTTCGTTAACCTGCATCTAAACGAACTATCAAGACGGTACTTTGTAGGATTCACCTCGGTACTTGTGTTTTCTGCCTCAGCGGTCACCTTTGTCCCGGTGTCCAAGGTGAATGGCCGGGCAGAGGTCGATGACATCCTGGCCGCTGTCCGCCCGACCACGTGCCTCATGACCATCATGCTGGCCAATAACGAGACCGGCGTCGTCATGGTGAGTGGCCCCGCCCCATAATGGCCTGGCGGGGACGCTTACGCCTCCCATGGGAATCCTCTTCCTCGCATTGCAGTTTGCGACGTTCGTGGCCTGTCCTCATGAATGTCCCTCGTTTCTGTCCTTCGGCTTGCATCACGTCAAAGCGGCGTCCTCAGCCTTTTCTGTCCCCTCTGCAGCCCATCCCCGAGCTCGGCCAGCGGGTCCGAGCCCTGAACCAGCAGCGGGCAGCGGCCGGGCTGCCTCCCATCCTGCTGCACACGGACGCCGCGCAGGCCCTGGGGAAGAGGCATGTGGACGTGGCCGACCTGGCCGTGGACTTCCTGACCATTGTGGGCCACAAGGTGCGTCCGCGGAGCCCACAGCACGGGCTGGCTCTTGCCTGTCACCCAGGGCGTGCCGAGGGCCACGCCCTGGGATGCGGTGACTTGTGGCTCACCACCCCCACCCTCGGGCTTGCAGAAGGGGGGACCAGCAAGTGCCACCCCCACCCACATGGGGATGCTGGGGCACCCCAACCTCTATAGGGCAGGAGGGAGGCGGCCAGGCCAAGCCGTGGCGGGCATCGAGGTCGCAGGTAAGAAGTAAGGCAGGCGGGTTAGCCAGGTAGTGCGTGTTCTCCGCAGCACACAGAGAATACAAGCAGACCCCTCTTCAGCCCACTCATAGCCCCCACCCTAAGGATGAAAGATGTGGGTTCAAGAAATTATCGCTTTCTCTAAGTTGATTTGAAGTGTGGCTCCGGGATGTAACGGCTTAGCTTTAGCGACCCACCTTCCCGGCGGAATTGGGGAAACGGTTCTTCATGAAGATCTTCTGAAGCTTTCGCTCACTTTTCCGGCAGCAACGAGCCTGAAGTGTCTCTAGGGCTCGTTTTAAGCACAATGCACAGCCAGTTTCAAAGGGCCTGTGTGGGCCCGACACAGTGGCACTTAAGGTTTTTGCATGATTTCGATTTGAAAACATGGACTCCTAACTAAGAAAGGCCCTTGGCGACCTTGAGTCCCAGCTCTTGTCCCTTACAAATCCTGCCACGTGACGGTCGGGTCGGGGGCCTGCAGCCACCCAGCTGAGAACGAGGGTCCAGCACTGGCCCTGCCTCTTGAAGGCTTTGGTGACTCCAACATGCCCAGAGCATTGATTGGGGGCACAGCTGCAGGGCCCACGCGTGACCGTGTTTCTCTGCGTGTGTCTGAGCACTCGGCACGCGTGCGGGGAAGGTCCTGGGGAGGTCCCGCTGAGTCAAGGTCTGGCTTTTCCTTTCAGTTCTACGGCCCCAGGATCGGAGCGCTCTACGTGCGCGGGCTGGGCGCGCTCACCCCGCTGCACCCCATGCTGTTCGGCGGCGGACAGGAGCGGAATTTCAGGCCGGGGTAAGGCAGTGCGCCGGCGACACCTCTGACCTGCTGGCCGCTCCCGCTCTGCAGGGCAGTGGCTTCGCTGTGTCTTGGGAGCACGTGCTAGCACAGGCTGCGTCACTGAATCAGAACTGGCTCCAGTGATTGAGTCCACCCTTAGGACTCGCAGGCCTGTGGTCTTTCTGGAGGCGGGTCAGAGCCGATGAAGGAAATCTCTGTTTCTTCCAAGGGCTCGAAGCATCGGCCCCCTCATCACCCGGCTCGGCCTCGCAGATGTGCCGCTGGGGCCCTCCCGGACAATCAATAGATGCCAAGCCCGAGACAGCAAAGATGCGAGAGCTGCCAGCAAGGATTTCAAGGCAGACACGTTAAAGACACTTCAGCGAACACTCTTGAAACCAGTGAAGTAGCGTCAGCAAAGAAAAAGAAGATGCAAAGAATTAAATGGAAACTTTAGAACCAAAAACCACAGAAACTAAAATAAAAATTCAACAGATGGGCTCAACAGCGGAGTCGGGTAACAGAAAAAACAGCAGGTGAACTGCACAGCAAATGGAATTATCCGTCTAAACAACAGAAAAGAAGAAGATTGGACCAGAAAGGAACAGCCTTGGGGGCCTGCGGGACTGTCACACGAGATCGAAATCCATTTCATTGGCGTCCCACGAGCAGAGGAGAAAGGCTGGGCTGAAAACGTCCCAAATTTGACAAGAGACATAAACTTACAGATGTAAGAGGCTGAACAAACCCTGTATAGGATAAACTGAAAGAAATCCATGCCAAGACTTATCATCGAACTTTCGAAAACGAAAGACAGAGAAAATGCTTTGAGGGCAGCCAGAGCAAAAAAGGCACCTTACCTCTAGGAGAAAATAATTCAGATGACAATGGATTCCTCATCAGAAACCAGAGAGGCCAGAAAGAAATGGCAGAATATTTGCACGTGCTCAGTGGAAAGTGCTGTCAGGCCAGAATCCTGTACGCAGCAGAACTGTATTTCAGGAGCGAAGGGAAAATCAAGACATTCTCAGATGAAGGAAAACTAATCGAATTTGTCACCGAAAGACCTATGCTAAGAGTGTCTAAAGGAAGTTCTCAAAACATAAAGGGGACAGTACAAGAAGGAACCTGGGGACGTCAGAAAAAAAGCACGGTAAGGAAAAACGTGGGTGAATAAGAGAAGCTTTCCATCTCTTCTTGAGTTTTCTAAATTACATTTGATGGCTTAAGCAAAAATAATAGCGCAGCCCGACATTCAAAATGTACGTGGGAGAAATATTTACACTGCATAATTACACTACAAATGGAGGGCGGTAAAGGGATGTAAAAGGAGATAAGGTTTCTGTTCTTGAACTTCTGAAAAGTGTCCACATAACCCCCAGAAAGGCGGAAAAAAAGAAAGTATTAAAAAACAGCAAACAAAAAAATGGCAGATGTACATTTTAACATCAGTAATTACATTAAACCTAAGTCGTCTAAATACACTGATCCGAAGACAGATTGGCAGAGCGGATTTTAAAAGAACGGACCCATCCACGTGCTGTCTGTAAGAAACTCATGGCAAATGCAGCGGTAGAGGCAGCTCGAAAGTAAAGAATGGAAAAATGTGTCGTGCAAAGATTAATCAGAAAGAAGCAGGAATAGTTATATAACATCACATGCTGAGGACGCAGAGCAGAGATTACCAGCGAAGGCGCGGGACGTGACGAGTAAAGGGTCGGTCCACCGAGAAGAACACGCATCCTCGGCGTGGGTGCAGCTCGACGGTGGAGACAAAGCCATAGAACTGAAAAGAAACAGACGAATCCGCAGCCCGCCCTTCAGCGATGGGTAGAGCCACTAGGTCAAAAGCAGCGAGAATGTGGAAACAGCCACACCTGTCCCCCCAGGCTCTCGTCGACATGTTCGGAACACTCCAACAACAGCGACGTACATGATCTTTTCAAATGCCACCGAGTCTATACTAAGAGCATATTCTGTGCCATTAAACCTCGACACGAGCAAAGAACTGAAATCACGGCGCGTGTTCTGTAACCGCTAGAAATCGGTAACTGGGGGATGGTGGGGAAATCTGCAAACACTTCGAAACAAACAGCGCCCTTCTGAGTCATTAGGGGTCACAGAGGAAGTCTCAGAGGAAGTAACGCATGAAGTGAATGGCAGTGAAGATAAGCACGTCAGCATGTGCGAGCCTCAGCGGAAGCACCGCCCAGGGAGATCGCAGCAGCCAACGCACCCAGAGGAGGGCGGGCTCCCCGGTCCGTAGCCTAAGCTCTCCCCCAAGGGGCCTGGAAAGTGCAGAACCAAATGAATCGAAGCCAGCGAAGGAAATAAGAAAGATAACAAATCCCTAACACTGAAAACGTGATTTTTAAAAGGTCAGTGAAACAAAGAGCTGGCTTTTTAAAAGTATCGACAAAACTGACAGACTTCCAGCAAGACTAACAAAAAAAACCCACAAATTGCCGGTATGAAGAAGGAAATGGGATATCACCACAAAGCCTGCCAACATCAAAGGATGATGAGGGAAAAAGCTAGAACATCCCCATACACGGAAATTTTACCACTTAGATCAAGTCAGAGTGGAAAACGAACTGCCACAGCTCGCCTGACGTGAGATCATTCGAATAGCTCTCACTGTTAGGAAATTGATTTCATAATTTTAAAACTCCCTACCCCCAAAATTTCCAGGCCCAAATGCTTTCACAGGTAAAGTTTACCAAATGCTTAAAGAAGAATTAACATCGTTTCTACATACTCTCTTCTAAAAAATTGAAGGGGAGGGAATAGTTCCCTATTCATTTTCTGACGCTAGTATCACCCCGATACCCAGAGCAGACAAAGGACAAAAAAACTGCAGACCAAAGGTCCCTCGTGAATTTAGACACAGAAGTCTTTAACCAAATAGTAGCAAATAGAATTCAGCAATATAATCTATACACCGTGACAAAGTGGGGTTTGTTGCACAGGTGCAAGGCTGGTTCAGTAAGGTCATACTCCATGGTGGGAGCTTGAACGTCTGCCCCCTGTGATCAGAGACAGGCCAGGGGCGTCCACTCTCACACTGTTAGCAGTGCTGGGCGTTCGAGACAGTGCAGGAAACCAAGAAAAGGAAATTTAAGGCGTTTAGATTGGAGAAGAAGAGGCAAAACCGTCCCCGTTTGTAGAGCACGTGACGATCTATGAAAACCCCGAATAATAGGTTAAAACTAGAATTAATGAGTTCTGCGAGATCACAGGATAAACATACAGAAACCAATTGTATTTCTATATACTAGTAATGACTATACGTACAACCAAATTAAAAATGCATTACCATTTATAATCACTCAAAACTACCAAGATACAAATCTGACAAAACGTGTACAGGATTTATATGCTGAAAACCACACAGTACAGTGAAAAAAAATGAAGGTCTAAATCCATGAAGAGGCACCATGTTTGTGGATCCGAAGACTCAGCCCAGTGCTGACGTCCCTTCTCCCCAGGTTGATGTACAGTTTAACCCGGTTTCTATCTGTCAAAATCCCAGCGAGTAGATCATTGGAACAGAATGGGCACGACCAGAAAGAGGCCCGAATGATTTGACAGACACAGAAGCGGGTCAGGGGAGGAGAGACGCGCATTAGACCGCCGAGGCGGCGCCCGTGGGCAGAAAGAGGAACCTCAGCCCAAGTCGCATCCCGATCAAATATTAACATGAAACTATGAAACTTACAGGAAAACATCGTCAGGCTCTAGGGCCGGGCAAAGAGTCCTTAGACTAGACACCGAAAGCATCCATGGAAGGAGCAATCGATAAGTTGAACTTGATCAGATTTTAAAACTTTCGTCCTGCAAAGACTTTGTGAAGAGGGCGAGAAGGAAAACTATGCGCTAGGAGAAAATAATTTCAAATGCCGGATCCGACGAAGGATTAGTACCTAGAATACATAAAGAACTCCCAAAGCCCAACAGCAAAACTCCCAGTCAGAAAATAGTCAGAAAATGGGCAAAAGACACGATCAGGCTTTTCACCAGAGAGGACACACGGAAGGGTGGATGTTCCACGTCATTCGCTATTAGGGACACGCCCCCACGCCACACCTATGACAATGGCCAAAATGCGGTGACGGCACCAAGTGCTGGTGGGGACGCAGAGAAGCCGGACCCCTCGTGCACGGCCGGTGGGTGTGACAGAGTGACAGCTTCTTACTAACCCAGACCTGCCATCGCCGTGCGGCCCCGCGGCCGAGCGCCTGGGCGTTTGCGCCAGAGGGGAAGACGCCTGTGTTCACGGCGGCCCGCACACGAGCGTGCGTAGAGGCTTCACTCGTGAGAGCCCCACACGGCAGGCAGCCCAGGCGTCCGGTGATGAGAGCAGAGCCGGGCCGGCCGAGCAGCGGGCAGGAACGCGCTGGACGGCAGCCTGGGGGGCTCCAGACGACGGCGAATGGAAAAAGCGCAGCCCCGAAGTCGTTTGCAGAATGTTCTTGAAATGACAGCTGCAGCTGTGGAGCGTGGGTCAGCGGTCGCCAGGCGTTGATCTGGGGGCCGCAGAGAAACGTGCGGCGAGGAAAGGCCACCAGGCCGAGGTCTGTGTCTCCTCGTCACCTGTGGTGTCATGCTGCAGTGTCCTTGGGGGGAACTGGGTAAAAGGCACGCAGGATGTCTGTTATTTCTTACAGTTGCGTGTGAATCTACGTTATCTCAAAATAAAAAGTTTAAAAAAGGTAAAAGGCCCAACATCAGGTGTCGGGAGCCACAATAAGTAGCTCAGCATGGGGTGGGGAGAGGGGATCGGGTTTGAGGGGCTCGTGGTGCTGGAGGAGGGCCGAAGGCGACCCCCATCCTTTATTGACAGCTGCTCGTCTCCCGTTCCCCACACAGCGTCCAGAACGATGGGGAAACGTGCGCATCAGCCGCCCCGCCCGTCCTCAGACTCTGGGGCGAGTGCCCTGCTGCCCTTACGCCGCAGCCCTCTGGGCAGTCACAGGCCCTCGGCCTTCGAGATGCCCCTGGTCCAACCCTCCGTCTGTGAGGGCAGGCCTGGGGTTGGGGGGGGCAGGGGTTAGGGTCCCATGGCTGGTAGAGAAGTCAGGGCCCAGGACACCCCAGGCCTCTGGACTCTCCGGCCGGAGCTCCTGATCCCTCCCAGACCAGCGTCCGTCTCCGGGAACAGTGGACCAATCGCCTAGACGGAGCAGGACCAGGAGGCTCAGTGTTCCCACAGTCACGTGCAGGGGCTCAGGTACCTTGTCATCTACGGGGAAATGGGCAGTCGCCAGCGCCCAGGGCTTAAGAAAACTCGATTCAGCCAGAACTTAAAACGGAGGGAATCGCGAAGTCGGTGTTTTGTTTTTCTGGCATAGAGTGAAGAGCTCTGTCCTTCAGCGTGGTCCTCAGCTTGGTAGGTGGGTGCTCTGTCCCCTCCCGCTCACACCCCGACGTCTCCAGTAATGTGGGCTTCATCCTGCTCTGGTTGAGAATGTCGGGGTGAGCTCCTCGGACCACCCCTGGTTTGGCAGTGGGGACCAGAGTGTGGGCTCTGAGGTCTCTGGTTGGAGGACAGGTTTCTCTCGGGTAGAGAGAACTGTCACTCAGGACACCCGACGTGTGTGGCCACTGTGGGCCCAGTCCGCCGCCCCAGAGCGGGACGCGTGAACCCTGCCGGGGGGCGGGGGAGG